ATATATAGCATATCTTACTTAATTAAAAATGATCTTGTGGACTTTGAATTTCATTTTTTAAACCTGTGGTTGCAGCGCTTTAAATTTTACTTTTTCAATACTTATTATGGTCCTTAAAGCTGATTCACTTTTCAATTTGCAAGGTGTAAAATACATAAAATAAAATCCATAGAAGCCATAGTGAAGTTCATGAGACCACATGATCATTTTCAAAGTTCAGGGGCCACCGTATTTCTTTTAAAAATTTAAGGTTAAATTATATATTCGGTGTATACAAAACCAAGGAAAATAAGTTTCTACCCACATTAAATGTTGCGATGGCTAAAAAATAAGCCCCAACACATGTTTCTTAATGTATATTTAGAATTTATGATTTTTAAGTTTGCAAATTTATTTTATTAGTTTCAATAGAATTGGATTCAAGCATAATTTTTTTTATAAAGATAAAAATATAAAATTTTAAATGAACCAAATATGAAAATTTCAAAATTCATAAATAAATTCTATAAAATTTTATAGAATTCATTTATATCATACTAATTTCAAGTTTGGGAGATGAACAATTTAGCTTAGTACATGAACATGCTTGCTCTTGATGATGGAAAAGCAGTAACCAAGGTTTTAGACCCTCGTAATAAATAAAGCAAAGGATCACGGGTTAAAATTCATTCAAGTAGAATAAAATTGAAATTTTAACTAAAATGAATTTAAATAGATATTAAAATTTTATAAAAATAATATTTTTTTCTGAGTAATTTATGTATTAATTAATAGTTTAAAAAAAATTTAGAAATTAAAAGGAACATCATAGGTGCAAGCCCCTTGAAGTTCGCCAAGTTCATGTGCATGGGGTGTTAATCATCACATTGTTTTATTTTGTTAATTACAATTTGTTAATTATCAATTCAGTAATACCAGAGAATGTGCCTAATGTCTCCGTTGACCAAATCATAGGATCAATTTGACGCATTAAATTTACTTAACCATAATTTATCACTTTCAGCCAATTAAATATCATTTGCCACTTAGGGAGAGTACGGAAGTACTCATTTCCAATTTAGTCGGTCAATTTTAAAATTGTATATTGCATTTATGTCACTAATGGTTTAATTTATTGTTTTTGATGCACAATAATTCATTGCTTATTCATTGCTTAGTGATAAGTGCATTGTGACTTGACGATAGATCCAAGTTTGAATTCCTCTTTCCTCAATACTCTATAAGAATATATTATCTTTATTTCATAATACTTGTCACATTTGTGTTTGAAGGAGAAATAAATTTTTTTTTGCATATTTACCATTTGTATATGACAATAATTATTACTTCAATTTAATGGTTTTTTAAAAAATTAGTATTAAATTAAGGGTAATATAGTCAATTTACTCAATAATTTATTGTAATTTAAACAAATTTAATGGTTTTGTTAAAAGATGTAAAATTTCAATTGTGACAAGCATTATAGGTAAGTTATTTGAAATTTTTGCATTGAAAAAATTGATTCCCCCAAATTATAAATAAAGGCTTATTAATTTAATTAAATTACTATTTATCTTCGTATCATTAATTTGATTAAAGATAGTTTTAGAAAATTATAGAAATAATTATTGGATTTAATATGAATATGGGTGAATTTAAAAAAAAAAAAAAACAATTCATTCTTAAAATGACATATTTGTGGATGGAGATAGTAATTCTAATAGAGACGAAAGATCAAAATGAGCAGCGTCCTTAACTAACCAAATGATTTTCTTGACTTCATCCTCGTCGCGGTGGCTGCAATGCATCTAAGCAGCAATAACAACAATGTGGAACTAATGGAGGAGAAAGCTTTACAAGCAGCAAATCTGGCCAAGAGATCATCATCACCATACAGTTTATTTGACATCCAGTTGATCATCTCGATTCGTTTCAACTCTAAAATTACTAAATTTTACTCCAAAAATACTAAATTTTTGTTGGTAAGATTTAATTGAGTTCGAGAGAGGGGGATTGAATTTTTTTAATGGATGATATTTAGGGATTTTGTTGAATTTAATTGGAGTTCTTGTTGAGTTCAATTGGAGGTCATTTTTATCTTTTATATATATATATTTATTAGAAAACGAATATTTTATGGATGGAAGAATTACGTAGTTAATGAAATCAAAAGTTAAGGATTTTCAAATAATTTTTTAAAAGTAAAGAACTGATGTATTAATTTCGCCGTAATTTGATCATTTATATTTTTTTCCTTGATTTAATTGCATGTGGCATTTATGTCAGAACCAATGGTTTAATTTATGGCTTCATGTTTCTTGGGAGGTACTATTATTTATTCGTACTCAATAATTAGCTTAGAATCATAATGCAAAAATTCAATACCTTAAACTAGAATATTAAAATTTTTATGATTTATAATTATATTACCAAAAATAATTTGATATGTGTAGTAGACTTTGAATTGAAACATTAGTATATCCTAATTATTATTAATATTATTTTGAAAAAATTATTATTTGAAGATTTTTTTTTCATTCTTCAGATTTTCCTGTCTTATAGTTAACATTCAGTTTTGGATTTTCTGGTAGCATTCCCATGAGAGAAGCATTGGAGGTTAGGAAGCAAGTTTATGAATATCAACCAACCCATGTTCCCTATTTTCAATAATTATTTTTAAATATGGGACTATGGCTTACCAAATAATTCTACGGGTTTTTTTTTGGCTCAAAACGACTCTGTACTTTCGGTGATTATCTTTATGATTCTCTGAACTTTGTAAAAAATCGATCACAATACTGCACTTTCACATTTCAATAATAATTATGTTCCTCGCCAAAATGAAATATGAAAGTATAGGGTTATAATTGAATACCTGCAAATATATTTTTATTTTGGTGAGATATATAATTATTATTTATATATAAAAGTGTAGGATTATAATTGAATCATCGCAAAGTTCAGAAGCCACAAAATTAATTGATTAAAGTTCAAGATCAAAATTATCCATTAGGCTGCTTTTTTTTTTTTTTTTTTTTTTTGCATCATATCGCAAAAGTTCAGAAGCCACAATAATTGATTAAGTTCAGATTTCAAAATTATCCATTAGGCTGCTTTTTTTTTTTTTTTTTTTTTGGTCAATTTGGATCTTCTTGTAGCGTTCTGCTATCTAATTTTTTAAACTTAAGTCAGTTTGAAAAAAGTTGCAAATTAAAATTTTAGAGCGCTATAATTTTCAGTTTCAACTCAACAAGCTCTTTTAAGCTAAAATTATTGACATTATGAGGGTCGAAAATTCAAATTAGTTGACTGTTTAAACTGTAGTGATTTGTCCACCGTATTTATGATATTAATTTGTTCTCTCGTCAATTCTTTTCAAAAAAAAAAAAAAAAAAAGTCTAGGTGACTTGTACAATTACATATTGATGATGGAGATTTATGCTACTCACTGAGATTTATATTATTTAATGAATTCTATCATTCTTGTTTGGAGAAATTTAAATTTTATATATATTTCGTATCTCTATACCATTCAGTCATGAAAATAATTTTCAAAATATGGACCGTAGTAATTTCCAAAATTTAAAATGACCAAAACCTAAAATTGAAAACATCAAAAAAAAAAAAAAAAGTCTTGGTGACTTGTAATTACATATTGATGATGAGTTTATCTACTCACTGAGATTTATTATTATGAAATTCTATTACATTTTGTTGAGAATAAAATTTTATTATATTTGTATCTCTTACAATTCAGTCATGAAAATAATTTTCAAAATAATGGACCGTGTATTTCAATTTAATGACAACCTATTGAACCTTCAACTTATTCATTCATATAATAGGAAATAAACATGTTTGTCTAAACCAATAAATTGTTTATTTAAATTTGTAAATCAAGTTTTACCGGAATGACAAAAAATCTTTTTTAGTGTTGATTCAATAAACTGTGTAACTTATTGAATGTAAAAATAAAAATCTATCTTAACGGGATGACATTCTATATACTTCTTAATCTTCCACAATTGATTCTTGATACCGTTTTTCAATCATTTAGTTCAATAAGATAGTAAATTTGAATTCAGCATTCAGAATTTAACCCAAACAAACAAATAACTCCTGCCAATTTATAGACTCAAATGCTGCTTATTTAAATTTTCTTGCTTTAATATAATGGATGATGAAATCTTGTCTGGCATAAAATCTACTAATATATAAACTGCAAGATACAAAAGATAAAAATAAATAAAAAACAGTATCTTGGTGATTTAATGCACAATTATTTAAAAATGCAAGTAGGGCTTAGGAGACATAAAGACAGAGAAAACAGAGTTGGATGGGGGGCTACATTGGCCTGTAGATTAATATACAGCCTGGTTTTGTTCAGCCTCTCATCAATGCCTATCTCTGCTTCTTTATTATGCCATTCATAATCATTCCAAATCAATTTTATTTTTTGATTAATAAAGAATTTGAACAGACAAAATTATTTCAATTAAGTTCTTTTGCCGAATAATATTTGTCAAAAAAATTAAAATGGATATCTTTTCTCAATAAATGATATCTCATATAAACGTCCTTTCAATTTATTTCTCTCGTTTCTTTTTTATCTCAGAATTTACTTATAATTAAGGAGAAAAATAAGATAAGTAATGAGATATAATTTTTTAATAATTTATAAAGTTAATAAAAAATAAAATGGAAATAATCATTCCTATCTTACCACCTTGATTAATTCTTAATGAAGCCTTAAGTAGTTTCCTTGTAAATTTTGTAAATTATTTTTCTTTGTAAGTAGAGCTTAATAGTTTCTCATTATGTCCTCTTAATCCCCTGTAATCGTTATCCTTTTCATCATTCTCCTTTCTTGAACTGAAATGTAAAAAGTCTGGAAGAAAGAAAATAAAAGAGAAAAGGCAAAATGTGTACTTTCAAAGAATAAGCAAAGTTAAATTGCATTGAATCAAAGTAAAGCCTAGAAGTATAAAAACGAGTCGACTCACTTACAGATAAAGCCAGCTACCTGTGATTTTAAATTACAGTTATTTAATTAACTACCTCCAATTGAGTCAGACACTTCTCTTTGACTTATAACTGTCTATCTGAATCTCTACTCCTCTACAAATAAAAATGGCTAAAACCCCAAACACCCATCACAATCCCTTCAAATCAGCATCTTCCAATCCCACCTGCAGCCTTTTAATTTATAAGATAATTAAACTTTTAATTATCTATAGCCCATTAACCAGTAGAAATGCCATTCCAAAAATTTCTTTCTGGTTCACCTCTTCTCCTTCTCATTTCATTTATTGGATTATTGCCAATAACTGCTTCTGGGTATGGATCATCAGGTCCAATAGCAGCTGCATTTGGTGAAAATGGGTTCTTTTGTGCTATAGATGCTGGCGGAAAGCAAGATATCACATGTTGGGATAAAGATGATAATTTTTCAGTTTCATCATCAAAAGCATATTTTAGCTCTCTTCCATCAATGGCATCCTTATCTGGTGGTGAGGGTTTCCTTTGTGGCATTTCATCCAATATCTCTCAGGCATTTTGTTTTAGCATGTTAGATCCAGGTACAAACCTTGTTCCAAAAAATTTTAGAGCCAATTCTTACTCACAAATAGCTGCTGGTAAATATCATGCTTGTGCTATCAGAGGATATTACTTTTCTAGTACCGGATATGGTAATATTGATTGTTGGGAATTCAATCAAACATTCAATTCATTTCATAATTCATATGTTGATAGTCTTGCGTTTAGGAGAATAGTTTCTGGAGATGGATTTAGTTGTGGTATTAGTAAGCAAGGCAATGTGGTTTGTTGGGGACCCAGATCAGCTAATTTAAGAGTTCCAGATGTTTCTAGTGATTTTGAAATTTTGGCCTCAGGTAGGAATTCAGTTTGTGGAATTAAAAATATGTCTAAAGAAATAGAATGTTGGGGTGATGATAATGAGTTCCGTACTCCACTTCTCGGAACTCAATTTGTGAGTCTAAGTGCAGGAGCACATCATTATTGTGGAGTTCGAGAAGATAATCATGGAGTTGAGTGCTGGGGGAATCTTGATTTATCATCAATTCCAAAAGGTTCTGGTTTTATGACTCTTGCTTCATCAGACTACACTACTTGTGGGGTTAGAGAGGTTGACTTAGTTCTTGATTGTTGGGGTGTTCATGCGCAATCCCTTCCAGATTATAGCCCACCGTTGCAGTTATGCAGCCCTGGTATGTGTTCACTAGGCTCATGTCCTGATGGGAAGTTTGCATTCAATGCAAGCATCCTGAATGAACCAGAGTTGACTAGTTTATGTATTAGAAAGGATTTGACGATTTGCTTGCCTTGTGGTACAAATTGTTCAAAAGGTTATTTTCCCTCAAGCATGTGCAGTGAAAATGCTGATAGAGTATGCACTGCTTGTTCACTTTGTCAAAATAGCTCTTGTTGGGATGTCTGTGGACTTACTTCTTCATCAGAGATTAAACAGCAGGAGCAACAAGAGATAAAGAAACTAGCAGTCATTGTTGGCTCTTCAGTGTTATTTTCTGTCTTCATTTTACTCGGATGGTGTCTCATTCCAAGGACGGTCAATATTAAAGATGGAGAAACCAGAAAATATCAATGTAATTTTTGTGGAGGGAACCGAGTGGTCCAAACTGATCTTGACCCAAATCCACAACCTCCTATCTCTATAATTACATCTATTGGAGAGACACAAGTGTTCCGGCTTTCAGAACTGAAAGATGCAACACATGGTTTCAAGGAATTCAATGAACTTGGAAGAGGAAGCTTCGGTTTTGTATACAAGGCAGTTCTTTCTGATAGTAGGCAAGTAGCAGTTAAGAGAGCTAATGCTGCCACTATAATACACACAAACAGTCGTGAATTTGAAGCAGAGTTAGAAATCTTGTGTGGAATAAGGCATAGCAATATAGTGAACTTGTTAGGTTATTGTGCAGAAATGGGGGAGAGGTTGTTGGTTTATGAGTTCATGCCTCATGGCACACTTCATGACCATCTCCACGGAGACCTCTCTCCACTCGATTGGAACTTGAGATTGAAAATCTCTTTGCAGGCTGCAAGAGGACTTGAGTACCTCCATTACGAAGTTAAGCCCCCAATCGTTCATCGAGATGTAAAGACTTCAAACATTCTTCTAGACTCTGAATGGAGTGCAAGAATTGCAGATTTTGGACTTTTAAGCAGTAACGATAAGGATATAAAAGGCAGTATGGAGAGTGATGTTTATAACTTTGGTATTGTTCTGCTAGAAATATTAAGTGGAAGGAAAGCCTTCAATAGGGATTGTACTCCTGCAGGCATTGTTGAATGGGCCTTGCCTCTTATAAGAATGGGAAGAGCGGCTGCCATTATCGATCGAAATGTAGCTCTACCGAGAAATGTAGAGCCGCTACTTAAACTTGCTGATGTAGCTGAGCTTGCTTTGAGGGAAAATCCAAGTGAGCGTCTTAGCATGTCTAATGTGTCAAATTTGTTGGATCAGATTGTGAAAATTGGATTGTTATTATAACCATACCTTATGAAATTACTTCCTGAACAATTCTTTGAGCAAGTGCTTGTGTGTTGTAAAACATTTGCATTTTGTGAGTTCAAATTCCTTTACTCTTTCACAGAGTGAAAGAACTTTCAATTGTATTACAGCAAGGTTTTTGCAGTTCGTCCATCTACTGATTTTTTTTTTTTTTTTTGCTGAACAATTCTTTGGCAAGTGCTTGTGGTTTCTAACACATTTGAATTTTAGTAGAATTTCAATTCCTTTTACTCTTTCCAGACCGATTGAAGACTTTTCAATTGTATTACAGGCAAGGTTTTTGCAGTGTCTTCTACTGAGTTTTTTTTTTTTTTGGGTTGGTTCTGGTCTCCTGTTAAGTACGCATTTACAAGCTAATATTTAGGCCAAGGCTTCATTTAGCTGTGTGGATTTTTTTTTTTTTTTTGGTGGTTTCTGGTCTCCTGTTGTAAGTAGCATTTACAAAGCTATATTATAGCCAAGGCTCATTTGCTGTGAGATATTATTCATTTGCTTGTTTATACTTTTAATTTCTCAAAGCATGATTTGTTCAAATCACTATTTTAGAATGATTGTTTTCATCTTTTGTAATTAGTTTAGATGTTGCAGAAGATATTTTTTCTGCTGTCAGTGAGCCAAAACACTTTCTACTGATACCATGGGATCCCTATGGTTCGGTTTCAAACTATAACCAAATCGAAATTAAACCGGTCAAAATCAGCACTAAACTATGGTTAATGGTTGTAGTTTCAAACCATAAGCAACACCTGCACTTAAGGTTCGGTTTCAGTTCTTCATTTTTGAGATTGAAACCGGAGGTTCGAGTTTGAAACGGTGAAAAATATATTCTTAAAAAACTCCAAACTTGTATTTTTTTTTTTCATTATAATTTTCAAAATAAATTTATTATTTATTATTATTAGTTCAGTGTTTTTCAATTGTAATATTTATTATTATTTTTATTTATTCAAGCTGTAAATCAAAAAAAAAAAAAAAAAGAATTTTAAAAGTGTGAAATAAATTATCTAATTTCAGTTCTAAACCGAAATAAAATTGGAATTTTCGGTTCCAAACATTTTAGAAACTACCTAAAAGCTGTTCGATTTCCATTCCACCTTTCTTATAATTAGAACAAGCAATTTTGAAATTGAAACGTGAAATTTTGGAGCGGTGGTCTTATGCCTACATGTAGCTGGAATATAAGAAGACAATTTTTTCGGTATTTCTCACACCTGAGTCTTGACTGCATTTTTCATAGAAAAAGGAACCAAAAATAAAACTCCATAAGCCCACACATTTCTTGGGTTACAGGAAAGAACTCAAAGCCCAGAAGAGAGAATAGCCATAGCTCAAAGGAAAAACAGAGTTCGTCGGTTTTCTTGGGTCAAATTTAGGCCCAAACTAGCACACACTTTTCTTTTCAAGTTAAATATAGAAAATTCTCAATAAATTAAAATTAAACAATTTTTTAAACAAAAATTGATTTTTAATTGACAAAAAAATATCTTAATTATGTCATAAAATTTATTTCGAGTCAAAATAGACAAAGTTAAAAGTTCAATGATTATTTCAAAAAGAAAACTAAAAAGAAATAAAAAGGTCAATTATTAATTTGAGACTTGTATTAAGGGCATTTTGGTACTCTTATATCAAAATTCTCCTTTAGGGTATGTTCCACGATATTAGCTGTTTTAATAATTATTAGTTATTGCACTAGCTGTTAGTTATTCCATTAGCTGGTAGCTAATAGCTTTTAGCTGGTAATTATTTATATAGCAGTTTAAATCTGGTTCATGCATCTGGAAAGCTCTGAAGCAAAAAAATATCAGGCTTTCTCTACATATATTACCGAACGCTAAAATTAATAAAAATAAAATTTTGACTTAGTCAAAACGCTAAAAGTTGGCTCGAAAACTGTTGGCAAATAGGGTCTTAACTACTACAAAGAGTTTTGAGTAATATTTATTCTGAAAGAAGGAAGTAATTTGTAAATGTGAGGGATTATTTAATTTATCAATTTAAAAAAAAAAGATAAATTTGTTAATTAAATTGAATTTCAAAGGTTACCCAATTAATTATTTCCAATAAGACCATCTGGCCATAATTAAAAAAAAATACAAGAACTTTTTTTTCAAATTATATATTTGTAAGAGTAATAATTCAAACTCAAGGAATGTAACAGTGAAGACCAATTCATATACTTGATTATCACATTCATGGCTTTACGCAGAGTCTGAATAAGCATGCGGAAATCATTTTCAATTATTATAATATTGCAGATTTTCAGAAAAAGATAATTATTTTGTAAGACCCATAACTGAGGAGCTGCTCTGCTAACTGTGCTTAAGGGTGAGATGATAAGTGATGCTCATATGATGAAATAAACACTATAATTTATTTTGGGCCATAGTTGAGTTGTAATAGGCTACAAATAAATCGCTGTAGTTGTTAAGGGCATGGATGGATCGGGTTGTGACGAGAATTATACAATTTTCAGCTTCATTCTGAAATATCGGACAAAATGAAATTTTAATTTGACTTCAATAGGTATATAGTCATGTTCGGTTCCATTTCATCGAATCTATGGGATGAGTCATGGGTTGGGAATCAATAAAAATTTTGCATAGTCTTACTAAATTATTTATTTCACCAAAAAAAATAAAATGATTATATTCTTCAATTACAATCAAACAAAATTCATCAATACAAATTTGAGTTAAAAAAAAAAAAAGAGTAGATCAAATAATTAATTCAATCATCCATAATCTACTATTAAATTCAATAATAGAACATTTGGTAGTTACTTACTAATTGATCATAGCATTAAATTAAATATAATAAAATAAAATAATTCAAAAATTATATACAATTTAACTTTACATGTATTTTATGAATTTTAATATTTTCATTACAATTAATATTTTCTATTGAATTGGTTAATCTTTTTTTTTTTTTTAAAGAAAAAATTCATTCAGAAAAATTTACTTAATACATATAATAGAATAATAGAGAAAAAATTTGTATTAAAAATTACGTTTAATTAATTATTTCATTTTATATTTAGAAAAATACATATTATTTTTTTCCTTATTTTTCGCTTAATAAGTGAATGGTGTCATGAAAAAATTAAAAATAAAAAAGATGAAATGACTTTTATGAATATGATTTAAAATTAAAAAAAAAAACCCAGAATTTAAAATATATATATATATATGACGGAAATACCCGATTTTTGTGACAGGATGGGGGTAAAAATTGGATCAATACGAGGATTTTCATAAAAGAATTATTCTCACCCCATAATTACTCACGATTAAATTAATATCAAATTTTTTCCAAACAGAAATTCAGAATGGTTTTTGAGAATGGATCGGATTCGCACGACCCCATGCACACCTTTAATGATTGTGGATCACCCATGATTGTGGCCGGTGATACTGTTGACTATTGGTGGTAACATTTTTTTTCCTTTTTAAAATGATGTATAATTTTTTCTTTTCACCTAAAGAAAATTTTTATTGATTGATTTTCTCAAGCATTCCAAATATCAAGTAATTTTAAAGCAATTTTTACACAAATTTTTTTCTATAAATAAATGAAAATTAGTATTTGAATTTTATCTCAACTTTATTTTTATCAATCAAGTGTTTCAACTAATAATTTTTTCATAATTAAATTTATATAAACAAAATTTCTCGTTGGAAAATCAAATTAAACTATTTTACTTTATTCGTCAGCTTTATTCATTTCTTTATATGGTTACATTTATATAGTCACGGAGTTAGAATTTTTTTCATAGAAAAGCAAAAATATATTTATCATTTCATACGATGAATAAAAAATACATCTGAATAAAAAATAGTATACTTACATAAAACAAATATATATTATATATGGTTAAAAAAATTAATGAAAACAATATAAATGCCAATAAAAATATAAAGATATTTAACATAATATTGGGACTTGTCTTTATTACATTTTGTTTTTTTCAATAAGATTAGATCATTAAAAAAGAGTTTAGAACTCAACTCCTTTTTCTCTATTTCATTTCTATTGTTTGTTCGAATTTGGTTGTAACCTATGAAAGTGTAACAGTGATTATATGGTATTTGGTCAAATGATTGTATAAAGAAGGTGAGAATTTTATAGAAAAAAAGAAATATGATAAATAAAAATAAAGTAAAGAAATTATCAATTAAATCAAGAATTAAAAAATGAATTCCTACCGTGAAAGTTCCAGTAGTTATCGCTGCTAGAGAAGCACTCATTTAAATAACTTTCAATAAGGAAGAAATAATGGCTTTCTAAAATTGACATATTATAAATTACATGAAAATAGCTATTAACATTTAAAATTATTATTTTTAAAATAAATGATTTATTTTTATTTATTTTTTCTATTTTTTTAATTTTATTTCGTAGCAAAAAAATTATAAGGAAATCTGATATTTTTTACAAGAAAAATATAAAATAATAAAATTCAAGAAATGAAAGAAGAAAAATAAATTAAATAAATATTTATGATTTTTTTGAAGGGATTAAACCTAAATTTATTATCAGATCATATATACATTTAACACTAGATTATATCTTGGTGTGCAAATAAATAAATATTTGCGATTGATACTGTATATTGAATAAAAATCTATATTTCAATTATTAAGCAAAATAAGACCAAATGTATTTAACTGAAAAAAATATTTAATAAAAATACTGGATTGATAAAAAATAAACTTCTTGTTTGGAGCAAATGAATTCTATAAAATCTTATAGAATTTATTTTGAAATCTTTTTTTTTTTTTTTTTTTTTTCTTGGTGTCAAAATAAATACAAATATTGCCGAATTTGATACTGTATACTTGAATAAAAATTCATATATTCTCAATTATTAAGCACAATAAGACCAATGATTTAACTGAAAAAAATTATTTAATAAAAATACCTGTATTGATAAAAAATAAACTTCTTGTTCGTTTGGAGCATAATGCTTCTATAAAATCTTATAGAATTTATTTTTAAATCCCTTTTTTTTTTTTTTTTGTCGTTTCATAAAAAAAAATGTATTTTCAGACAATTCAGTGAATTTAATTCCAAGAATCGTTTAACAAATTAAGCCAAATCCCGTTTTTTTTTTTTTTTTTTTTGTGTTTGGAATAAAAAAAAATGTA